GAACCGGAGCTCTGATGCCAACTGAAGGTGAGAAAATACTTAGAAGGGGGGTTGAATAAGTATGAAGATAAAAACTTGGAAGTAAAAACTCAGTTAGTTTTATCCTGGTTCGTTGAACTCAACTACTCCAGTCCACCCTTCCTAGAGTGATTTGTCTTTCTCAAACAAGAACTTAATCCACTATTTAATCAACTGATTACAATAGTAAGCACTAAGAACAACTGTTCAAAGTCTTCTCAAGAACTACTGATCCTAACTAGATCTTCTTAAGGTTTTCTTACAATCAAATGTAATAACAAATACAAGTGTTAAAATGTTTCTAATAAAGCTTTATCACAACTGTTATTTTTCACTTAAGATTAAGAACAAAGAAATAAATTCTAGCAAGAATATATGAGTTGTATGAGAGCTTTGATTATGAATTCTTTTCAAGTGATTCGTCAACTGAAGAAGATGAGTGGAAACTTGCTTTTATAGGCACAGTGATCCAAGAGTATTTCACGTTGAGAAGTGTGTACCAAAAGGTCTGAGCCTTTTTGTCTTCACGTCAAATGACCTTTCCTAGAAGAAGAAAGCACAGAGAAATCATTTTTGTCTGTGTTCTTGTGTCTAGCATAAATAAGGAAAGAGTCGTTTGGATATTCCAACGGACATAATCTTTGAATTCTTCTTCAACAATTTTCAGCAAGAATCATCAGAGTCTAATTTGATCAGAGCCTTCTGATGTTGGTCAGAGTTTTGCTGAATCAGAGTCTTTGCAGCAAGTGTGCTTTTAGCGTGTATAAGTTCAGAGCAAAGTTTTGGGTCAGATCCTCAGTACTGGCAGCGTTAGTACTTTCAGAGTCTTCTGAATTAACTATGCTTGAAAAACTCTTCATACAGAATTCTTCATTGGTTCAGATGCTTCTGACTTGCTTCAGATTCTTCTGGAGCTTCTGCTTCAGATCCTTTTGGAGGCAACGCTCAGAATCTTCTGATGGCAGCGTTCAGAATCTTCTAATGAATGCTTCTGATGCTTCAGAGCCTTGCATATTTCTTATGTTCAGATCTGATTTGCTTCTGGAGTGATATTTACTATAATATCTGCAGTAAACATTCTTAAGCAAATTTTAGAGTATATAATTTTTAATTACAAAATTTCATAATAGTTATCATCAAAACATAGAGATATTATTAAGAACCAATTTGTGTTCTAACAGTCATGCCACCAAGAACAAACAACAACATAATGCAACACTTATATATATTTTACTCATCATTGCTGAAAATTTTAAAAGCAAACTCAGTAAGAAAACAAATTCATTACATATACCATTGCAGCAAAATACAGTATGAAACAAATAACAACATTGCGAGATTGGTTCGGAGCAAACCTGTAGATTTCGTATAGAATGGGTGGAGGACGAAGATGGAAGAATGCCAAAAACAGACGGACGAAATGGAAGAATGCCAAAAACAGACGGACGGAGGCGGAAATGGAAGACGGCGACGGACGAAATGGAAGAATGTCAAAAACAGACGAAAACGGACGACGACGGAGGCGGAAATGGAAGAGTGTTTCTGTTTCTGAGTTTTTCTGGGTTGCGAGCGTAAGAATACCAAAAACCACGACTATTTCTGTTTATGAGTTTTTTGGGTTTTTTTTTAAATTTATGTCATTTTAACCTACAGCGGCGCTTTTGCTAGGCCTTTAGCAACACTTTATAAAAGCGCTCTCTAAGGACTGATAAGGCAGGACCTATAGCAGCGCTTTTCTGAAAGCGCTCTCATAGGTTACCCCTATAGCAGTGCTTTCTGAAAGCGTTCTCGTAGGTGACCCCTATAGCAGCGCTTTCTAAAAGCGCTTTCGTAGGGCCTACTTTTAGCAGTGCTTTTTATAAATCGCTTTCGTAGGTGTCACCTTTAGCAACGCTTTTCTAAAAGCGCTGTCTAAAGTCTACTATTTTTTTCTTTTTTTTCCTGACTCTTTAGCTGCGCTTTTTCAAAAAGCGCTGTCTTTTTATGCGCTGCCAAAAATCATTTCTGTAGTAGTGGAACTTACAAATTTTGATGATAACTATGGATAGATAAATAACATCCATCATGACATTGAAATTCATATTATTCATCACTTATTTTTTCAAATCTCGCATTACCACTTAATAGAAGTTTTGAGTATCTTTATACACGAAATTCTTCTGGTATTAATTATAAGTAATTTGGTGAATATTACTGTGTAAAAGTTTATATTTTAAAAATACAAAGGATTCCACATCAATGATGTGCACAACTGATGTGAAAAGTGGCCGCGTAACCCATATTCTCTCAATTAACAGTCACAACCGAAGAGAAAAGTAGAGGATTTTACCTTGGTTTATAGTCCATCCAATATGAAAAGGGACGTGCTTTCATGTTTTCACCTCAATTTGTGGCCCGAAAAAAAAAATAATGCACTTTCAATTACACCTTATATTACCTCATTCACCCAACCAAAGTAAAAAATCATTTTTCAACTTAGGCAAAAGCCTTTTTTCATAGTAGTACGAAGAAAACTCAAATTAACCATTTTTATTTATATTAATAAATCAATTCTTTTTTCTTCCCATTACCCAATATAAAACTTAAATGAATATATTTTTTTTGACCCAACACAAGAAATCAATTTCAAATATAAAAATACACTTTTTCTTCACGTCTTTCAGGTTTGTTTAAGAACTAGAGAAAAACTTACCAATGCCCTTATCTAAGTTTGTTTAAGAACTACAGAAAAAGTTATCATTGCCCCTTATCTGAACAGTCCAAACTACCACGTGGCAAATTATAGCAAACCCTCCCCTCATCTTAGCCCTATCTCCTAGAGAGAGAAAAAACTAAAAAAATCCTAAGATCCATGAAGAACCAAAGCCATCATAATCACTTAAAAATTCTATATCATACAGAAGTTAAATTCCAAATAACAAATAAATGAGAAACAAATTATAACAAATCTTCGTACAAACTACAAGGGACGCCAATTAATTTTAAAATGACCTTCAATTTTAAAAGAAAAAACTATAACTATCTTAAAAGAATTACCACCTTAAAAAAATCCAACTGTTCTAAAGAAGAGGTAGCTTCAACTTCTCTCATATAGGAGAAAAGAGAGATTAAATATCCTGCGCTTAGACAAATTAACTTTAGAGCCTTGATATTTAAAGATCCATAGTTTTTCAATATTTACCAAAATTTTATTTTATTTTTTTTCTTCAATATCTCTATTCTCATGACATCACATTACTTTTTTAGTTTCTTTCTCTTTCAAGGTGTTATTTAGGTGTATAGGTATCCATGATTTCATTTTGGTCAACATGTTATAAATATAAAATTTCTACTCCTTTTAGTTTATTGATGACTAATCTCTTTGTGGGCACACTTGAAATATTTCCTTAAACTTACATTTAACTGGTTATTTGTACAAATATGTCAAACATGACCAAAGAAAAGTAGTTTCCTGTTCAAATAGAGGCGCCTTGGTTTGATCAACAAATCAACATTCTGTCATAACCTTCGGCACAAACTTTGCATCCTGTCGGCAAATCCAAAATCTAGTAATCGCAGTAAATTACTAGTATCATCATGTAGAAAATACTAGAGTGTTCTATATATTTTGATCCATATAAAAATATTACCATGTGTAATTTTGGTCTAATACTCCAAGAAGTTCTTTGTCGTTGTACACAAACATGCATGCAAGTGGTCTCAGACACAACAAGGAAAAGAAAAGCAGTAACTGTCATCTGTGTTATTGTTATTAATAATGTGTCAAAGAACTTGTGTAATAATTGTCTGTTTCATTTCATAGGTAAATGTTTTGATGCACTCAGAAATATCATTTATTGATAAAAAAATGTCCTACTTTCCAATAGGAGTTCCCAAAGATGATTCAACAAACAGTCCATCAGAAACTGCAACGACAAAACGGTATTGAAAGATGTTTATACAAATACCGATATTCACTGTTTTTAGAGGAAAAAGAAATTTTTATATAGCAAAAGAAAGAATATCCTAGTTAAGTCTCAAAACAGAAACCTGCTGCATACCAGAAATAACCAGGCCATACATAGCTTCTTCCATGAATGTGATTAGAGTATATGGTTCATGAATTAATGTCTTTTTTTCCTCCAACGCTGAACTGAAAAAGACTTGAGACTTGTTGATTTTAATGCCAATTCTTTGATTGTACATAATGACTGAATAAGAGGACTATCAATTATCATTATCTCTTCTGACTCAATAATAGAGATTGAATATGAAGCATCAAAGAGACATATATACAGAATGCAGATCATGTACTAATCAGTTTAAATTTAATCATATCCTAATAAACTTTTTAAATACGGATTCTTATGGTTAATCAACTATAAAAAGATGAAGAAATTTACATTATATGATCATATGGAGAGAATCATATATATGTTCTACTTATATCATATGTATGGAAATTCCACTCCTTATAATAGCTTAAACATATGAAATATCCAGAAACAAATTTCTTCAAATATGAACATCACTGTGAATCTCAGAATCAGATTAGTTTTTATTCATCAGAAAAAGTGCAAACCCCATACACAGATCATGAAATGATATATTGATAGAGTGTAACAAAAAAGACCCAGAATCAAAAGATGAATCTTTTTACACTCACATCAAATCACATATACATAAGCTCTAACTCTAGTGTCTGGATCCCTAACATAATTGATTAGATCGTACTGAATTCTATCAGATTCAGACAGATCTTTTACCTAAAAATCTATTTGATAATGAAATGAAAATGACCTAATTTTAAGATCCCTCCTTATATTTACACACTGATCCAAGATCAGCATCGAATTCGAGATCGATGAAAAAACCAAGAAGCTAGGTAACTGCAAATTAACAACAAAGCAATCCAATCAAATGCACCGTACAAGTTCCAAAACCAAAAATCCAAAATCAAACAAATCCAAAGAGAAAAAGACAGAAAATGAAAGAGTCTGTCTTCAAAAAGTGTAACTCCAAAGATTATCATCTCCTCCGTCAGAATTCCTCGGTGAATGATCATCCGAAGAATAATTTGAAAACGAGATCATCCTTGGTGGACTAACCTGCATTCCTCTAGCCATATCATCCAACAAATTCGGCATATTCAACAACTCATCCTCATCAATATATTCATAACCTTGTTGCTGCTGCTGTTGTTGTTGCATTCCACTACTAACTGAAGAACTCCCCTCAAAACCAAAACCAGAAGGGTTTTGTTGTTGTTGTTGTAGTATTCCCTCAAAACCAAAACTAGAAGCGTTTTCTTGCTGATGCTGTTGTTTTCCTTGTTCTTGTTGATCAGGTGGTTTCACTCTCATGACTTTCGCCTGTGCAGCAGCTTCAGCCGCGGCACGAATATCAGTTGAAGACAAAGAAGCCGGAATAGGATAAGAAAGCACCGAATCCGGAAAGTTAAGAGTCGTATCAGGTCCTTTTAAAGCAAGAGCAGCAACATCATAAGCAGCAGCTGCCATTTCAGCTTTAGGGTATGTCCCTAACCAAATGCGCTTTGTTTTACGCGGCTCGCGTATCTCAGACACCCATTTCCCACTCCTACAACGGGTGCCACGGTATCGTCCGACAACAACACCGGTTGTAACCACCGGGGTTGATGAAGATGAAGATGAAGGAGTTGTTGGTGCAGATGAAGATGTTACTACTTTAGGTAGTTGTATAGGTGGTGGTGGTGGAACTGTAGGAGAGTTATAAGGGTTGTTGCCATCCATGAATAAGAAGAAAAATAATAAAAAATGTTGGTGGTTTGGTTGTTGTAGGTTAACCAAGCACATATGATTAAAAAAATGTGCTATTGTTTTAGTTTTCTTAATGTTTTTGGAAATGGTATTAGAAAGAATATGAAGATAGTGTCATAGTTATACATATATAGGAATGGTAGGTTAGGTAATATATATCTATATGTGTGTGTATAGATATATTGACAATAATGTGTATGAATGAGGAGAGGAGATTAGTGTGATTTGATTTGAAGAAAAAGAAAGTGAAAGTGATGAACGAATGGGATGAAGCGTGGGAAAGTCGCGGAAATGATATCATTTATTTACAACAAAAGTAGTTAATTTGATTTGAGGGTGAGGCCACATTGTGAACACGTATTAGCCACACCATTTTTGATTATCTCTTAATATACTTATACGAGGAGGATCGTGGGGTGAACTTCACTTGTATATGTCTCTCTCTTAATGGCTATTGAGTACTGCTGACAACAAACATTGTCCCAAAGATAACGACTTTCTTTTTTTCTTTTGTTTTTACTATCAATTCACTTTTTGGGTAATCTAAATTTTTTTTATGTTTTATTAGATAAATACAAAATGATTATACAGAAGAGAATAAGGATGATGTCACAAATCTTAACTCAAACTAAATATACAGTAAAAGAAGAAAAAAAAAAAGAGGAAGGTTTTTCTCAGAGTTTTTTTTTTTTTTCTACCGATGCATTTAAACTTCTTAGATAGTTTTTTTTTCTCAGAGGAAGGTTTTTAATATTTTCATCAAAGGTTAAGGAGTCACTATTAAAATAGAGAATGAATATTGAAAAGGAACTTATGAAAATTTCTCTTGAATAAGGAAATCAATTGCTACTAAAGGTCAGAATGGATTTACAGAAAGTATAGAAACCTTAGAAGGAGATGCTAGTCATTAAGCTTCTTAGGAAGAACTTGGCCTACCATTTGATAAAGGATAGGTCGAAGAAAAAGTCCCTACTATGAATAATCTATTTTACCTTGGTTGGAAAATAGTTATTACATACGATTTTTGGGCGACGTAACAAAGGATGTCATGGAAAGTCGCTACTTTTGACAAATTGTTAAACGGATTCATCGTCATCATTGTTAATCTTGGTGAAGATCACCGGATCATCATTTCATTGAATATCGACGAAGATCGAATACAGGATTTTTATTGCGTACACATATGTATGCATTATATTTTCAATGGTTTTGCATGTATTTGTTTTTTATATAAAATAATAATAAAAAGTTAGATAAATAAAATAAATTTTTAGTTATAATATAAGAGATTATGTAAGAATTGACACAAATTTTGCACCAACAACTTTTCTACTCTTGCAATTCATTCCAGAGTTGTTTTCAAGCTTATTTAAGTTTAATTTTTTTTCAATCCAAATGCTTTTGTTATCAATGTTTGAGTTTCACTACGTAGCGCCCAAGATATATATTTGTGATGTTCGCGTTCTGATTGGATGTCGAGGATTTCTTTTGGTTTGATGTGTTGAAAATATCTTGAGCGTTGTTACTTTATAAATGGACGACAAAGATTCGTTTATAGATAAAACTGAGTTACATTTTCCCTTGGTTCTTTAGGAATACCGAAGTAATATGTTATTTCTTTTTAAATAAAAATAAAATAAAAATAAAATAAAAGAGCAACTTTTTTCCTCGATGGCTAAATCCATTGAGGTAATAGATTATTTCTATTGTAAGAAAAATGGTGAATAGAAAAAATTGAAAGTAATATGTATTGTTTCCTTTTTCAATTTTTTTTTCATTCACCAGTTTCTTTGTGTGTTGCAATATTCAAAACAAAATTGTCAAGATCGTGTTTTATGAAACAACAGCATTACTTACAAAATATTTATCAGTATGATTAGGAATAAATTTCTTAATATTGTTAGGCAAGGAAAGCAATAAATTATAAAATATTTTCTTTGACTAACAACATTGGAAAGTTATTCCAAAATATAACAATAGCCTTGCAAGAGGTAGAAAGAACAACAACAACATCATTATGTGAGATAGATTGCAAAAACAGAAAAATATTTTGTTCAATGTTGGTAAAATTAGTTTCTCTAATACCTGTATGTGCGAACAACGACACACAACCTTGAAAGACTTCTTAACTAATTAAGAAAACTTGAATAATATTATGTCTTGCAATACATCCCAAAGAATGATATTTACGAGTTTGGAACGACTGTAGATGAGTTAGGTTTAAGGAAAAACTTAATGAATAAATGCTTTTATAGACAAATCTGGGTATCAAAACCCTCGGTTAGTAGTGTAACTGAAGGAATTGATCATTTAAATTTTTAAATAAAAAAAAAAGTAAAAAGAAATTTTCCACTTTAAAAGAAATAAAAACATAAACTACAATTGCAGGAATTCAGAACATATCCCTTGAATTAGTCTTCCCCTCGGCCATCTATTCAAACCGAGGGAATATATCATGTATTTTTTTTTAAAAATTAAAACTTGGCATGTCCAGGAATTGTACCTTGGTTATTTATTGGTTGAGGTGAAAGTTTTGTCATAAAATATATTATTTGTAGTAGTGTGTGGAAACTTACATGAGGTTTTTAGATCATGGACATTGATAATGGTTTCTTTATGGTCAAGTGTGAACTTCTCGCGGATAGGGAGAAAATTGTGTTAGAAGTTCCGTGGATGTTGTTTGACCATTATTTGGAAATGACTCGATGGACTCCAGACTTTGCATCTCCTATCATAAAAGTGGATAATAATTTGGTTTGGATTCAATTTCCAAGGCTTAACTTATTGTATTATGATGAAAGTGTCCTTCTTGGCTTAGCATCTGTTGTGGGTACTCTTGTTAAGGTAGATGCTAACACCCTGAATGTAGAGGGGGAGGTTTTCGAGAATTTTTATGGAGATGGATTTGACCTTTCTAGTTGTCGGAAAGGTCAATGTTAATGTCCACTGGTACAATGTGTAGTATGAATTTCTTCACATTATTTTCTCCAGTTGTGGATGTTATGGACATCACACACGTGATTGGAAGAAAAAACAAACAATCTGACGCAGCCGACCATTCCTGGAGTGGTGCAACCAAGTAGCTCGTTGAAAAATGTTGTTTTCCATGAGAAAAGACTAACAAAATTGCATCGGGAAGTGGCTGATGATAGCACCGAAACTGTATTAAGAGAATCAGAAGAAGAAAAAATGTAGTTTATTGTGATTGGCTGGTGGTGCAGAGGAAAAAACGCAACAAAATAGTCATTTATAGTCACGGGAAATCTTTATCCAATAATGGACTTGATAGAGATCTTGGTAGTTTTAAAATCAAGGGGATTAATGTTTCTTGAAAAGGAATAAACGCTAACAAAAAAAGTGTTGGACCCAATCAACTTGACGCGATTTCTAAGAAATAGTTATTTGATAAGAGTAGACCCACCCTAGACGTGCTCATCCAGCACACAGAGGGGATTCACACGCCAAGACCAAGTATGTCATTTTGGAACCACGTCTTGCTCTTAGTGGGCCTTTGCATCAAATTGGGCCAACTTTTAATTCATGTCCAATACAAAAGGGTATGTCTAGTACTGCTAAATATAATTACATCATTCCCATAGTAAATTTGGGTTTGGATACCATCACACGATATAAAATTTTGCATTTCGAACCAACAATAAGTCAAGCAGATGGGTATAACCAATTCATTATGAAAGAGGGTGCTACTAAAGAGGAGGAAGTTGTTCACGAAAATTCAATTGAATGTGAGTCATCTATGTATGTTGTCGCATGTCTAGGACTTTCTTTGTCACCTTCATCAAATTGACTAGTTATGTTAGGTTTCCAAGAAGTGTTACTCTCATGGAATATCTAGGGAGCATCTAATGATAATTCTAAAATACACATGATGGAATTGATTAGAAAAACTCTCCAATGTTTCTAATCGTTACCGAAATACATATTGGTTTTCATAAGCCCACGTCTTTCTAGGATAAACTTGGATTTGTAAGTGTTCACTATGTGAATATGCTTGATCAATATGGGAGCATTTGGGTGTTAAATCTAAATGGTAGTAATATTATGACTGTCGTTCATGATATCTTTATGGATACAATTTCTATCATGATATCATTGGGAACTTCATCTTGGTATTTAACTGAATTCATGCTAGTCCTGTGTAAACTTCTCATCATAGGCCATGGCTTTATCTCATTAATCAAAGTAACATTGTTGAACATCCTTAGTTGTTGATTGTAGACTTTAATGACATCATTCATTTGAGGGAAAAAGAGGTAATTTTAATCATTCTAGGGCAGCTATTTTGTTGAATTCCATTGATAAATGTAATTTAGATGAAGTAGCTAGACATGACTAGTGGGAATTTTACTTGGAATAAGCCTTGTACTGGTAATCCAGTGGTCAATCTCAAGCTGGATAGGTCTCTCATTGAAGTTACTTCGCGTATGACTTTCCCTGACGCGTATGTTGTATGTTGAGATGTTGTGTAGATTTCTTTCTGATCACAACCCAATTCTCCTTACGTGTTGCCTTTCCCTCCAAGACTACATGCCGTGTCCTTTTAGGTTTGAGACTCTTTGGAAAAACTAACTCAAAATACTCCAATATAGTCCAGACTTCTTGGGGTTTATCCTCAAATAGAATTGTAACTTGTTTCCAAAATGTGCAGCACAATTCTATCCTTTTTAATAAGGAAACTTTTGAAAATATTAGCAAACGAAAGCACAACATTGAAAAAGAGACTCAAGGGTATCCATTTCTCTCTAGAGAGAATATATTCGACAATACTTATTTATCTCCAACAAGAGCTTTAATAGGAGTATGATGAGATTCTTGCGCAAGAGGAGATTCATTGGTATCAAAAGGCTGGAGATGATTCTATAAAATTGGGAGATTTTAACACCAATTTTTTTCATAACAAGACGATAATCAGGCAGAAGAGAAATAAAGTCAATGATATTTATCTTCCCAATGGTGTTTGGTGCAATGATGATCATATTCTCAACACATAAACACTGGATTTTTTCAAAGGTCTTATCTTCCCTACATCTCCTATACTCCCCACTAGTATGGACGACTCAACTATGGCTTTGATCCTTAGCGAAGAAGCCTAACACTCTTTGACTCAACAGGTGACGAGGGAAGAAGTTACTTATGCGTTGAATCAAATGCATTCTTTCAAGGAGACTTACCTTGATAGATTCCAGAGTATTTTCTTTAAATAGTTTTGGCATATAGTTGGATATGACGTTGTCCAACTTATATTAGATACTTTTGTGACTGGTAACTTTCACTAATCTCTTTTTGAGACTCTTATTGCATTAATTCCTAAGGTTGATTGTCCTCAAAATTTTAAGGAATTCAGATCCATTAGCTTATGTAACACTTTTCACAAGCTTATTATGAAGATTATGGTTAACATATTGTGTCCTTATCTAAATTAGATAGTTGGACCTTTTTAGAGTAGTTTTTTGTATGGTTAATGGACAACTGATAATGCCATTATTCTCTAAGAAGTAATTCATTCTATGTTTAAATCTAAAAGAAAAAAGTTAACATGTTGTTCAAAATAGATCATGGAAAGGCCTATGATCATGTTAATCAGGACTTTTTGGAATTTAGTTTGAAGTGAAACAGGTTTTCTCCCATTACTATAAAGTTGATTATGCACTGTATAAATAGATCCTCTATGTCAATTCTTTAGAATGAGAGACGACTACCAAACTTGAATGTTTGACTGTCCTGCCCTAGTATTGCATTAAAAACACCAAAGTACCATTCATTTCCTATTAAATACCAAAGTACCATGTTTTCAAAAAAAAATCGTTATTGTTACAAAGCAACCGCCCATTGAAAGGGTGAAAGCTTGTAAATAATTTGGGAACCGCCCATTGAAAGGGTGAAAGCTTGTAAATAATTTAGGAACCGCCCATTGAATGGGCGACAGTGTACAAATTAAAAGAGGAACTTCCCATTGAATGGGCAGCAATGTTATAACGTGTTTTTTTAAATTATAATTCAATAAATTATTTGTATTTATTTATTTATTTATTTATATTAATAGTTGAATATAAAGTAATTATTTATTTATATTAATGAAAGGATTAATGGTAATTGATTATAATTATTTATATTTAATTATGTGTTTAAAATGATTTTAAAAAAATAATTGTTATAATTAAAGCTATATTTAATTAATAAATAAAATAACGATAAAAACAAATAAATAATAATGGAAAGGAATATTTATTTATTTAGGTAAAAAAAATTACATTAAACCCCTATCTAGCCTTGATTTTGACCCAGTCTATGAAAGCATTGGTAGGTTCCACATGTAGGAGCTTTCCAATTCGAGTTGACCTTTTATGATTTTCATCAGCATTTGTTGGTTGAGTAGAAGATCCTGTGTCATTCCTAGGATCCATTAATTCAGCAACCATTTCATCATTCAATAATTCCATTGTCGTCGCACTACCAAAACTTAATCTGGTTCCCTCGTTATTCCAATTCAGTTGGGTAGTAAGTGGCATTGAGCTATGCATGTAGAGTTGATAGTTTTGGGAAGAATTTAGGGTGAAGGTTTGTGAGTGGTAAAAAGGGATTTGTGGTTCGGGTGTTTAATTGTTTTGTTCTTGTGAGGTAGGTTGTGAGAATGAGTATTGGTTATATTGGGTGGTGGATGGTGTTTTTGTTTTATGTATGATGTTGAGGGGGGTAAATTTTGAGTTTTGTTGTTAGGTGTTGAAGGTTTGGGTTAAATGATGGGTATGATTGATGGTAGTGTTGTCTATTGTACCAAATACATTGCGCAAAACTTCATTAGAGAAATCAAGAACATAAACCCTCAAAAAAAAGTTATTAACATGGGTAAGTATCTATCTATTTGCTAACATTATATCTTTGGCAATTATATATTATAATGCTAACCCATTTTTAAAACATATAGGGTATGCTTTAAACCAACCAACATTTCACTATTACCAGGATGAAATCGGCATGGTTAATGGTGATGCTTTAAGGTGGGTAGACAATATTTCCGTAGAAAAATGGACAAGGGGATTTGACGAGATTCGGTGTTGAGGTCACATGATAATGAACCTCGTTGAGTCAATGAATTCATTTTTTAAAGGCACCCGTAATTTGCCTATTACATCATTGGTAAGTGCAACATATAGACTGGGATTACTATTTTCTGAAAGGGGTGCACAGTGGAGTGCAGTGTTGAGTTCAAGGCAAACATTTACAACCAATTACGTTAAGGTGATGAAAGAAGAAACAATAAAATCTAACACACATCAATTACAAATTTTTTACTATAATCAAAACACTTCCAGTGTCAAGGAGACAATGGACAACTATGAGGGAAAGCCTATGGGAAATTACAAGGTCAACCTGATAAATGGTTGGCGTGACTGCGGAAAGTTTTAGGCATACTGTGTTCCTTGTTCACATGTTATCGTTGCATGTTCTACAATGCGCCAAGACGCCTATGCTCTTTTGTCCAACGTTTACAAGGTTGAAAACCTATTTGGGGTTTACAGCACAAGCTTTCTAGTGCTACCATGTGATAAATATTATTCCATTTATGAGGGAGATCAAATTTGCCATAATGCAAGAATGTGGAGGAACAAGAAAGGTCGTCCAGTGAGAAAATGTATTAGAAGATAAATGGACACGACTGATAAGTTGGAGAGAAAATGTTCCATGTGCGTCTTCACGGTCACAACCGAACTCGGTGTCCCAATGTTGGAACTATTTTTATTTTGTTATCAAGTATTAATTTCAAATTTCCATCAAGTTTCTCAATTATTTGAACTGTAACTAATTAAGTAACAAATATAAATAAGAATCCAGATAACACAAAACGCAACAAGTCTAAAAAACAACACATACAGTAGATATCAAAATAGATATAAAAAATACATAACCACAACATTTATAAC